ACAATTTGCTGTGGCCGTATTAGTACTGAATGCTGAACCCATAGTAATTCAATCCTTCAAAGAGGCAAGTCTGGATAAGCAGAAAGTACCTCAGTCTGTTTTTTATTATGTTTTAGAAATTATCATTTAAACTATTAGTTTTTCCCTTGGAGACTTGTGCAAGTCTATGGCCGTATGTCAAAACAGACCGTTATACCGTTTCTGATGTTTTATAGAGTTTGTCTATGTTGTAAATTTAAGTACTGACCTCAGATCTTGAAGGGAATATTTGGTGCAAAAGAAATGTGTGGAGAATGTTCATACCGGTATTTTTAGTCATGGCCCCATTACTACCATCATTTATCTTATGAAATCCTACTGTCAAGAAATACTTCTTCAGGGCAACAGTTCCAAACAAGTGAACTATGAATTAGTGTCAGGCCATCATAATAATGTTTCTCATCAGCATCAGCAGTATCTGATTTTTAAATGATCACACAACCAGATAAAGACTTGTTATTAACTTGTGGTCCATATTTACGACAGTGAACAATACAGCCTAGATATTTGGGATTTTCAGAAGATACGAAAAAAATATTCATCATCCAAAATAGAATTTGTTCACATCTTTAAGATGCACAGGCAGAGAGAGAGAAACATTTCATTGCTGATGTGATTTTTCAATTTACCTATCAACCCTTTAACAAGTGTCAATGCTTTGCATTATGTATATTTTGCCGTCTTGAAGTTTATAGACATACTAGATTGTCATTGAAATGCAAAATGTTTGGCAATGAATGTTTTGATTTTACTGTCATGTCAGCTTTGTATTGGTATTGGATGTCCCAACTTGGTCCTAACACGTTGTTTACTCATACAATTCGTTTAGAAAATTATTTTTTTATGTTATTTATTTTATAATATGTGGATTCCCACGTCTATGTTTTACAGTTTTGATGTTAGATTTTACAATGTCTTAATCAGTAGCCGTCCATACTTGATGCCTGTGTTGTGTTACTGTGGATGTGGCTGAGGCCATTACAGCTCAGTCAAACAGTTTTAGTCAGAGCATGAAGATTGTTTATCATTTCAAGGTTGCATTCCTGAATCTTTACTTGCTTGTTTTATTGTACTGTAATCTCATGATGCTTTTCTGACTGCAACAACAATAAAACACATGTTTCAAATGTTGGAATGTTTTTCGTTTGCTGTGTGTTTGTTTGTTGTTATAAGCCAAAGTCAGCAATATTCCAACTATGAGGGGCGGTGGTTTGAAAATAATTGAGTCTGGAACACACAATCTAATGATCAACAGCGTTGATCTACACAACTGGGATACAATGACTTGTTGTCAACCAAATCAGCGAGCCTGAACACTCAATCCCGTTAGTTGCCTCTTATGACAAGCATGGGCTGCTAAAGACCAATTGTAACCCGGATCTTCACGGGTCAGGTAAGACAAAGTCTTTGCATGTGACACAAGCCACCGAGTTGCTTGTTTCAAACGGGTTGTTCAAGTTCAAGGATTGTCCTGATTATTCATCTCGATCTTGGTTCTTCATCCTCCAGCAGAACACCCATAAGTTTCACCAAAGTGTTAAAAGGGCCCTTTCGACTAAGGTGCCCCCATTAGCTCTGTAGTATTCCAGAATCCTGTGGTCACAGGTTCAAAACTAGTTTCACAATGATTATGATTCAGTGCCATATCTGTTTGTGGAAACACTGTATTGTACAGTGAATGATACTCGATTATGATTGGTTGGTCTATCATAATCAGGTGTATCTATTATCGATAAAGTTAGCTGGTTAGCAGATGCCTAACTGCCATGAATACAACAACATATTTGCACTTTTGTTTGACCGCCAACAAGTTGAAACTAGACTTGACCAGACGCTTTGTTACAATGATTTTACTGACAGCGTTTTTAAGGAAATATTTCACAGTGGATGGACAAAGTTATTCTAGAAATGCTCATACGAGGTGAATTCCATAGAAATTGTTGATTTTGATAAATAAAAACTAATTTGCATAGTTTCTAACAATGTGATTTGTAACTTGATAAAAGGTAATGCCCAACCTAAGCGAGTGCATAATACCCAAATACCTTTGATTTAACTGATATACTGTTCAAGTACTGTTCACTCATTCAGTCAGACCCGTGAAGGTCCAGGTTAGAATTGATCTTCAGTAACCCATGCTTGTCATAAGAGGCGACTAATGGGATCGGGTGGTCAAGCTCGCTGACTGGGTTGACACATTTCATCGTATCCCAATTGTGTAGATCGATGTTCATGCTGTTGATCACTGTATTGTCTGCTCCAGATTCGATTATTTACAGACTGCTGCCATATAGCTGGAATATTGCTGAGTGTGGCGTAAAACTAAACTCACTCACTCATTCAGTCGGTGAAAGGATAACTTTTGAAAAAACTAGGTACAAATGCTCAGTTGCTTTGATGATGTCAGACACAAACCAACTGACCAACCGTCAGACCGTATTCAAGACAAACACTGAACATGAATTTTAAAAATATATTTTCAGATCATAAAATCTGTTCATGCAACATAAAACATTTTATGATGAAAATTCACAGTAATATATTAGCACTCCTACTATCACTAACTTACATTTATACATGAAACAGAAATATTTAAATTCCTAAGTTTGTACAAGTAGTGTCCTGACGATTAACTCTAAATGAATGCAGACAATGTTCTAAATAGACGTGTATATATTAAATGTGCATACAACCTATGAATTCTAAGATCTCGGCCTTGCACGTACATGGATATCTGGTCCTGACTATAACAACAAATTAATACTGCAGTAATAAAGTTGAGAATTTACACATGCTGCCAATTATGAATTACATGTGTGCTGACTTCAGAAATAAGCTGACACTCTTTGACACATCTGGCAGATGAGTGTAGAAGCTGGTAAAACACACTGATGTTAATCGTTCCAGTTTAACTCCTCACACATTCTGACAACAAAAGACACTCAATATGATAATATGCACTTAACTGAAACATGCTCAATAGTAAAAGCGTAGGTTATACAGAATCATAATTATTAAGTTCAAACACAAAAATTGAAAACAAAAATAAAATATTGAAATATTTACAAATATTTATACCATTTACAAACATAAGTTTAAAAATTTCCTTGATTTTAGACAAATTTATTGTTAAATTTAGCATTTAGCTGTGTATGTTAAATGAATATGCATAAAATGTTGTCAATTACAACCTTAGGCAATCACAATGACTTCTTGTCATTTCTGGGATACCCCAACATGATGTCACCAACAATCGGTGAAATCAGCAATCTGTGAAGAAATAATAAGCATCAGCAATCCTACTATTTACACCTGTGAAATAACAACAATCCTACTATTTACAACTGTGAACTAACAACAATCCTACTATTTACACCTGCAAAATAACAACAATCCTACTATTTACACCTGTGAAATAACAACAATCCTACTATTTACGCCAGTGAAATAACAACAATCCTACTATTTACACCTGTGAAATAACAACAATCCACCACAAAATATATAAAATGTTTTTGTTTCATTTTCTTCTCTTTTGGAACCTGAATAAACAAGAATTTTTTACAGGATTTTAAATATTTAAAGTTATTTTGGGCTTTTAAAATGTGTATGCTCAGCTGATTATCCCAATGAAATACCTTTGGAAAACCTTAGGCAATCAAAAACAATCTTCAAAACATTGAACATGTTTGCAAACTGGCATTGTACACATAAAAGCTCCAAAATATTGACTTTCCCTCATTTGCATAATGGAAATGTAACAAATGCATGCTGCCAGTATTCAAACTCAAATTTACGCATGAGCACATAGACTGTCACACATTATGAACTGTGGAAATATTTTACTTAAATACATGCAAATAATATGTACATCACATAAAAATTGCTCATACCACTGGCTCCCTACAAAAACAGCAAATTTTTGGGGGGACGTTTTTAACTTTAGGGAACTTAAACAGAAACATTGTCTAAATGATCAAAACAAAAACATTTTTGGTATTACTATAAATTTAATTTGTTTAGTGATTTATAAATAATCTTTTTCTGCAGAAGTGCAATACTGACATGAAAATTGTAAAATGAAAATTCTGTAAAAGCTTGAATTTTTCCTTGGTTTTCAAAAACATATACTGTAACATTGTTTTTGGCTTATAAATATACAACAGTTTAAATCTTTCCTTGATTTTTAACAACATATAACATTGTTTTTTAACAACATATTTTTTTTGGCATATGATATACAACAGTTTAAATCTCTCCTTGGTTTTTAACAACATATAACATTGTTTTTGGCATATGATATACAACAGTTTAAATCTTTCCTTGATTTTTAACAACATATAACATTGTTTTTGGCATATGATATACAACAGTTTAAATCTCTCCTTGATTTTTAACAACATATAACATTGTTTTTGGCATATGATATACAACAGTTTAAATCTCTCCTTGGTTTTTAACAACATATAACATTGTTTTTGGCATATGATATACAACAGTTTAAATCTTTCCTTGATTTTTAACAACATATAACATTGTTTTTGGCATATGATATACAACAGTTTAAATCTCTCCTTGATTTTTAACAACATATAACATTCTTTTTGGCATATGATATACAACAGTTTAAATCTTTCCTTGATTTTTAACAACATATAACATTGTTTTGGGAATATGATATACAACAGTTTAAATCTCTCCTTGATTTTTAACAACATATAACATTCTTTTTGGCACATCATATACAACAGTTTAAATCTTTCCTTGGTTATTAATGACATTTAACATTCTTTTTGGCTTATAGATATTATACATTTCTAACTGCTTACATAAAATAGGTTCATGAGGAGGTTCACACACATAATCTAAATGCACCATGAAATAATGGAGATATACCATGGGTAAAAATAATGAAATTAAGTCAACAAAAATGTTCATATTTCATGTCTCAAACACAAGAACATTTGCAAGACAGTAATCTTTGATGACCTCTCCTTCAATCCTTCACGCAGTTCCAACTTCAAATACACATCATACAATCCTTCTTGATACAGATAGTTGCACCAAGCACAAACTTGGCTGCTTGTATCCATCCCACTGGTCCTGATTCTTCAGGTACAAATAACTCTCTTTATTAAGTTAAAATCTGGAAAGTAAAGAACAATATTTAAACAGAGAACTGGATGTAATTGTGGAATATTGAAAGCAAATGTCAGTCAGAACAGAGAAAAGACATATTTTACCTGGATGTTTAGAGTGTATCGTCAAGGTGAAGCTGATGTATTGACATTAGAGAGTATTGTCCAGGTAAAGGTGATGTATTGATATTAGAGAGTATTGTCCAGGTAAAGGTGATGTATTGATATTAGAGAGTACTGTCCAGGTGAAGCTGATGTATTGATATTAGAGAGTACTGTCCAGGTGAAGCTGATGTATTGATAGTAGAGAGTATTGTCCAGGTGAAGGTGATGTATTGATATTAGAGAGTATTGTCCAGGTGAAGGTGATGTATTGATATTAGAGAGTATTGTCCAGGTAAAGGTGATGTATTGATATGAGAGAGTATTGTCCAGGTGAAGGTGATGTATTGATATTAGAGAGTATTGTCCAGGCGAAGGTGATGTATTGATATTAGAGAGTATTGTCCAGGTGAAGGTGATGTATTGATATTAGAGAGTATTGTCAAGGTGAAGGTGAAGTATTGATAGTATTGATATTAGTGCGTACTGCCAGGTAGGTGATGTATTGATATTATAGAGTATTGTCCAGGCGAAGGTGATGTATTGATATTAGAGAGTATTGTCCAGGTGAAGGTGATGTATTGATATTAGAGAGTATTGTCCAGGCGAAGGTGATGTATTGATATTAGAGAGTATTGTCCAGGTGAAGGTGATGTATTGATATTAGAGAGTATTGTCAAGGTGAAGGTGAAGTATTGATATTAGAGAGTATTGTCCAGGTAAAGGTGATGTATTGATATTAGTGAGTACTGCCCAGGTGTAGGTGATGTATTGATATTAGAGAGTATTGTCCAGGCGAAGGTGATGTATTGATATTAGATAGTATTGTCCAGGTGAAGGTGATGTATTGATATTAGAGAGTATTGTCCAGGTAAAGGTGATGTATTGATATTAGAGAGTATTGTCCAGGTGAAGGTGATGTATTGATATTAGATAGTATTGTCCAGGTGAAGGTGATGTATTGATATTAGAGAGTATTGTCCAGGTAAAGGTGATGTATTGATATTAGAGAGTATTGTCCAGGTGAAGGTGATGTATTGATACAGAGAGTATTGTTCAGGCGAAGGTGATCTATTAGTATTAGAGATTATTACCTACGAGGGCGAACATATTGGGGTTAATATTGTTCATACGATGCCCTAGGGCAAAATATCACTTTGTCATGGTGACACATCATGAACAAGGCTATGACGTCACATTTCTTCTGTGACGTTGCGTTCTACATGCGGGAGATGTGGGTTTATTTTCTTCAATTTGATGACTTCGGCAATAAACAGAATATTATATTCGTGCCCATATCATACTATGTTTACGACACTCATGTCTAAATATCTGAATATCCCTCGCTCTCGCTCGGGAAATACCAACATTTAGGCACTCGTGTCGTAAACATAGTATGACATGGGCACTCATATAATATCCTCTATGTATTGTCCAGGTAAAGGTGATGTATTGATATTAGACAGTATTGTCCAGGTGATGTATTGATATTAGAGAGTATTGTCTAAGTGAAGGTGATGTATTGATATTAGAGAGTATTGTCCAGGTGAAGGTGATGTATTGATATTAGAGAGTATTGTCCAGGTGAAGGTGATGTATTGATATTAGAGAGTATTGTCCAGGTGAAGATAATGTATTTATATTACCTGGAAGTTTAGGGTGTGTATTGGTATTACCTGGATGTTTACAATAAGTCATCCAGCTCCGAGGTGAGGGATGCCTTGATAGCTAGGGCGACAGCAGACTCCACGACTGAAATACAGACAGACAAGGAACAACAATGATCGAACACAGTCAGGGTGATATAGATTCATGCAACTGCTAGGGGCAGGGTGGACAGGTGTAGGAAGCAGAGTGGACAGGTGTAGGAGGCAGGGTGTACAGGTGTACAGGCATGGTGGACAGGTGTACGAGGAAGGGTAGGCAGGTGTATGAGAAAGAGTGGACAGGTGTAGGAGGCAGAGCGGACAGGTGTAGGAAGCAGGTTGGACAGGTGTAGGAGGAAGGGTAGGCAGGTGTAGGAGGAAGGGTGGACAGGTGTAGGAGGCAGAGTGGACAGGTGGAGGAAGCAGGGTGGACAGATGTAGAGGCATGGTGGGCAGGTGTAGGAGGAAGGGTAGACTGATGTGGGAGGAAGAATTGACAGGTGTAGGAGACAGGGTATGCAGGTGTGTGTGTCTTTGTGCGCGTGCGTGTGTATGGTCGCGTGAGTGTGTGCGTGAGTGAGAACGTGCGTGAGTGAGTGAGTGAGTGTACGTGTGTGTGTGTGTGGAGTATGGAGGGCTTGGCGGATAGGTGCAGGGGGATGTTTGGAGTGTAGGAGGTAAGATAGGCAGGTGTAGGGATTGGTGGATTGGTTGATGACAAGTGAGGTATCCGACTTACTCTCCTTCTCCTCCTCGTTTTCGTAGTCAGACTCAGATGCCGACTTTTTGGGGACGACTCTCCTCAGTCTCCATGGGAACAGGCAGTTGGCCAGGTTCTTGAAGCATTGCACGATCTACCGATATATTACATAGCGACATCATTGATTACACAAATATAAAATTACAGAATGTTTAAACTGACGTGTAAAATTATGAAATGATAAACATTATTCCCAAGCAATGTGGTGGGGGTTGTTTTAATCAATATGAAAATTGGAAAGACATTACCTGTATGCAATGAAACATTTCTTTCCTAATGATTCCTCCAGGAAACTTGGCGAAAACAATATATATGTACTGGTATGTCATAAATATAAGATATTCAGTTGGTGGTTCCAGAAATCATTATTTTTCGTTTACGTTGGAAACGTCATCTGATGATCATTTATTACTTAAAGCATCCATATAATAGTCCCAAACGCTCTGTCCTGAATACACGTGTCTAGTCTGTTTGGATTTAAATGATACCGATGAATCACAATCTAACTTCATATCGGTTCATGATCAAACATTCATTTCAACGCAGAATGTAATGAAAACATCAAACCAACTCGGGAAAAGTTTCATAATGCTTGTCTCCAAAATAAAAAAGTTACTGAACAAACTATCATCATTTTGTTTTGATTTTCCGTGTGAAGTTTCACGAGGGTAAAGTAACAGTAGTTATGTTGTAGGAACAGCCTCAAAGGCGGGAAGATGGAGATGGAGATTTATTATCGTACGATGTCACAACGTGCAGTTAGTCATTAGAATTCGGGTGCCCTGATTCAACCAGCGTTATCCAATGTTATTTAAGTATAACCAAAGACAGTACCAAAAGTAATAGGCACAGACTGCAACCTTATCGATGCAGAGTGTTCACTGTAATGACGAATTTACATAATTTTAGATTAAATATATATTTTAGTTTAGTTTTGTCTTTTGAAGAATCTGAATCAGTTCCACTTTATGACATTGCACAATGGGACATGCTTTCACGAGGAGTAACTGCGCAATGAGGTCACCCAACACTGGCCAACAGAGAGGTCACCAGTGAGGTTACCCCAACAGCGCTGTCACCTGAGCACATTGTGAGGTCAAGTGTTTCTTTACGTGACGAAACATTGTATTTTTTCTTATTAATGCTCATAAACCAACAAAAAAGGTCAAAATAGCACCAGGGTGAGTGAGTATGACTTTACGCCGCTTTTAACAATATTCCAGCATTATCACGGTGGGGACACCAGAAATGTGCGTCACCCATTGTACCCATCTGGGGAATCGAACCCGGGTCTTCAGCGTGACGAGAGGACGATTTAGCCATCAGGCTACTCCACCGCGCCTAAATAGCACCAGAGATGCAAAATGATCATGATTGCATTTTTGAATCTGAAGCATTTATAAGAACAGTCGTAAGTTTAATTTCACTGATGTATAACAGAAAAAATATACAAACTAAATTTGCAGTTAATAGTATTTACTTTACTCATGGTTAAATCAATAATTGGTATTAATTAAATTTAACGAGTATGTCACTTGCACTCTGCACGCGCACACCAGAGTGTGTGGCAACGTAGCCCAAGTTTTACTGTTTATATATAATAGTCAAACAAACATATTCAAGTGTTTGCACGAAGCTGTGGGTATACACACGTGTTAGGGCTGAAAGTGGAAGCATTAAACGTATTCATGTATAACGATGTAACCACATCTGTCGTGACAGTGAAGAGTATGTTATGTCCCTTGAACATAAACATGTCATTGTTTACTGGAGTCAAGTTGGTTGTAACAGCCACGGCGTCTCTCTCTACTGTAACCATCGGCAGATTGTCTAATGTTTACTCGTCTAACAGTTATTTTTTTCTTTCCCAACGCCTCATATTTTGTAGCAAAACACAAAACCGGTTATTTTCAGCTTTTTCTTCTGAAACCAATTATTTTTTTAGATAGAATTATCACATTACATTGTTAAAAGTTCGAGACATCGCTGTGGACCTTTCTCATTAAGTTGGACAAAGTTAGGTGAATGAGTCGCTTTTGGTAATATTCCAGCAATATTACGGCGGGGGACACCAGAAATTGGCTTCACACATTGTACCCACGTCGGGAATCGAACCCAGGTTTTCGGCATGACGAGCGGACGATTTAACCACAAGGAATGTGCTGCATACATTATGGTTGGTTGGTTTGTTGCTTAACGCCGCACTCAGCAATATTGCAGCTATATTGCGGCGGCCTGTGATCAACAGCATGAGCATCGATCTCACACAATTGGGACACGATGACATGTGTCAAACAAGTCAGCGAGCGTGACCACCCGATCCCGTTAGCCGCCTTTAACGACAAGCATAGGTCGCTACATACATTATGGAATACGCCGAAGTAGAGTGTTGTCAATAATAAGCACACTTTTATCATATAAACTAATTGATATTAAACATTAGTCACAGGGGGTTGTCAATCAGGCACGAAATACTTGTTTATAAAAGAAATAGTCAGTGCTTTCCAAGTGAAACGTCTTTGGTAGCACAACATATCCATAGTTCAAAGAACAAGTGATGACCCAAAGACAATCACCAAAGTCATCGGTTCACCACAACACAACAGACATGCACAACAAACGAGGTTAGTTCATATCAGACTGGCAGGGGTCAACCACAACACTGTTCAGCACAACGACGTTATGTTGGTCTTTACAGCAGTGCTGGCATCAAATCTAGACAGTTAATCAAAATAAATAACAAAACCAGCAACAAAGTAATTCTATTCTACACAAACAAAACAGTTGTTTGTTTATCACAACACTGATATCATGTAACAAAAGGCACATATTTTGTCTGCTGAAATATGTATGACAATCTAAACGTTGATAATAGCACCCAGTTGCATAAACAATGTTTAAGTTTCACACACTGCAGTAATTACAACGAGCAGGAATGATTGACAATGAAGAGTAAATATTTTAAGGTCGTCCCTGAAATGCGACTGTTTACCATCATACTCTTTACACTTCTGTGCTGAAAAGACAAAACCTTCAACAAATTGCTAAATTAGATAATGCGAAATTTAAATTTTTGGAAAACAAATTTCACAAGTTGCTTGTGATCATGCCACACACAGGTTAAAACTACGGAGATTCACTATACCGAGAATGGTTTATATTTCGCGGTTTAAATCTTCTGTCTAAACTATCCAAACAGACTTAAACACGAACGCTTACATACCCGTTCCTTGCGGCTCAGCTTTGTGGGCGCCGGCGATTCCTCATTGGGCAGAACCTCCGCAGGTTCCGAAGCCGGTTCCATGATGTGTTGACACTGCGGCCTTAGAAACGTTATGGGCGCCCGGAGGCCTGTTCTATGACGTCATTGCGCTACACGTCACGTGACGCGTTTTAAGCAGCTATCTGCATTCCTGTGGCTGTGTAGATTTTTGTCATTGTTAGAAGTAGACTCGCGCAGGGGCGTCGCTACCATTATAAAATAAGACCGGGCTTACACATGATTTTTGTTCAAAAGGTTGGGCAAGTCCTCAATACTATCTAGATAAAGAGCTTTCCAACCTATCGGGTTAACACGAAAGAATTGGCTTGCTACGCGGCTGTCGGGGTCAGTTGGGAGATGATTTGATCCAAAACCGACTTTGTAAATTTTCTGTATTATTATGCTTGTTGTTCTCCCTGTTAGAAAAACTAAATTTTGTGCTTTTATGCATCTGCCGAAAAACATTATAAATTATGAATGTTCTAGACAATTTACGCTGTTTTCAAAGCATCTGATAAGTGTTCAATTTAACTATAACGGAGTTAATAAATAATACAAGAAATAATAAACAATAAAACATCAGCAACAATAACAACAACACAAAACAGAAAATAATATAATAAATAAATCAATAAAGCTTTCGCATAGTACTTTCGTCAATGTACGCATGACATATCTCGAACAGCAGCACTGTATATGTTTCAAATATGTCTTTTATTCACAAGTATTTTCAATCTTAAAATTAAATATTCACAGTCTCTGCTTTGTTGCATTGTGTGGGTTAGATCCAGCGTAGCGCAATTTTCGCAAAACATATCTGTCATCCAAAATTTATGAAATATGTGCGTTTGAAAATTTACTCGGCATCCAGAGGTATTCAACACTATCATTTAGAAATATGCTGTCTTCACATGAAAACACTTTATAGCATTTTGGAAATAGATTTCAGCGAATGACAGAAAAAAAGAAGATATTTGTAAGCGGTAAGTTGTGGTGGTGAGATCTGAAGGTATGCGTCATTGCGAAAATAGTGTCTGAATTTGATTCACGCCTTCATACCTGGACATAAGTATCTTCCATCCATTTGCTACTTATCAAGAGTCACATTCAATTATTCCACTTCAAAGGGTTTCAGGACAAACATGCAGGCACATACACGCACACGCACTGGCGTATGCGTTTTGTCTGCTTGGGGGATTTAACTAATATAAAGAGAACCAGTTACAGAAGAAACGCAAACACTCACGTTTCATACTAAATTTAATCACTCACTTAGGTGTGGATATCCCATTCGTCTCCACTCGGCCCTTTCCGTAACTGCCAAGTGGACTTTTCCCGGAATAACACGAGTGGGTCCCGAATGTGGATATCATTGTTATTGCAGAAAATCCTCACCTGAGGCGCCGTTTCACTATGTGTTCCATTGTAGGAAAAAAGTACTGACTAATTTATGATAAATTCAAATATATAGTGGCGTCAATAATTCATATTGTCATATCTTACAATCGAATTAATGATATCCATTTTTCAATTTGTGATGTATTTAATTTATGGTGAATATAAGATAAGTCTCAACGGAGTTCTATTACTCTAGGACTAGAGTCGTCGTAATTATCCTCGTTCAGCTATGTTATGAATGTAATCCTGATTTGACGACATATCGAAGCGTCCTACAATGTCTCGTGACGGCCCGGTGTGAACTTGTTCACATAACCAGGAATCATGTTTCTCAAACAATCTTACTCAAAGACTATTTCTCTAACACACTGAGTCTTCAACGCCCCACTTGCTAGTGTGGTAGGCTATTGACAGATCGCTCCACACGCTAGATAAAGGTCACATTTCTTTTAAGTAGAGTGAGTGAGATTTCTTACAATTTTCGTCGTTTTGAGATATCACTGTATGCCATGTTTGCTTTGTTCATCGTTTCATAGCTATAATCAGCGTCATGCCAGCTGTATGACAGAGGCCATTAATAATATACTTGAACAGAAATCCAGTGGTTGACATCGTGAGCATCGACTGACTGACTGACTGAGTTTAGGTTTACGCCGCTTTTGGCAATATTCCAGCAATATCACGGCGGGGGATACCAGAAATTGGCTTCACACATTGTGCCCATGTGGGGAATCCATGAGCATCGATCTAAACTTAGATACGATTACATACAATCACATCTGCAAGCCTGACCACCCAATCCCGTTGATGGCATCTTACAGTGTGTGAGTGAGTATAGTTTTACGCCGCTTTTAGCAATTTTCTAGCAATATCACGGCGGTGGGGACGCCAGAAAAGGGCTTCACAAATTGTACCCA